TAATTCTCGTGACGTGAGGAACCTGCTAACGAAGGCCTCTTTTGTCGAGAGTTCAAAGAGTATTCTTGTGTGTCGTTCCGATGGAAACAAGCTGCAGACTGAATCAGCCACGCCTCCTTTATTTTTCAGTTGTATTTTACATCCTCTGATTCGTTATATCCGGCACGATATCAGAGGAAAAACAAGATTATTGGTTCGTCAGCCCTTCTGAAACTGAGAGGCCTCATCTAGGAAGAGACCGAGATCGGTTCTCAACCCGGACTATGCTGCAAACCCATTTAAACGGGCAAGGTATGCTCACACTGACATACATGTGAATAATTACCTCTCTTTCTTTTCTCTTCCCACATCTCGAGTCTTGAATGCCTAGGTCATTGATCGGAGGAACCTCTCCTGCTTCTTTAAGAAGAAGCTGAAGCACGTGACTGAAATTAACTTTTAAATCTAAAGTCAATTGACTATTTCTTTACTTCAAAATAGCTCTTTTAACCCTTCTAAAAGGGCCTGTTACTTGCTTTTAGCACCCCCTAAGTGGTGTCAATCATTTGGTCTTAAAGACTGCATTAAATAGCGGGCGAAAACGAAACTGCTCCCTCCGTCAGCTGACCAACTGACACAGCAACTTTTTCGACGCGTAAGAGCGTTCCCCCCCCGTCCTTATCCCTCCGCGAAGTTGACGTTCGCAAAGAAAGATCAAGTATCAAGAAACACGCTTTTATTTTCTAGTCTTTAGCAAAATTTTGTTTAAGATGACTGCCCCTATCTAATTATTCTGGCTCTTATTTGGCGCTCTTCTTTTCTATATTTTCAGTCTTATTCTTATCTTAAAAGCTTTTTTTCTTAACAAATTTTTTTTATTAAAACTTTTTTTTACCTTATTAGAAAATTCCCTCTTTTGATGATGACATTTTATTCTTCAGATGATGTGGAGGTAAAGGCGTTTATGCCTAAGAACTCCGTAACACGAACATCCTTGATCCTTGATCCTTGAGAGGCTGTCGTCAAGACAGACACAGTGTAGAATGTAGAACGCTGAAATCTTTTGACACTGGTCGTGAAGTTATGTCTCTTGTACTGTCAACTGGAACGAATTATTGCATCTGCGATGTCTGACCATGTCATCTGACACAGCTTGAAAACAGTGACTTGCGGGGACCGCATGCACGATTTTATCATTTCTGTGTGGTCCACCGCACATAAATATAGATGTAGCATGAAAGCGTATAACCTTCTAAATTTCATTTGGCAAGAGCCTCAACTTTTCCAAATTACTCAGAGTGATATAAGAAATAACGACTAAGAAACACGTGAAAGAAACAATGAAGAAAAAGCTACAGTGAAAACGTGAAAGAAAAAGCTGCAGTTCGCCAGATTAAGTAAAAACACCATCGATAATTGTTCTTCTGAGACATTTTCAAGTAAAATTTGCTAAACAAAGCACTCCACCATCACATATTTACAGGGTGAGTAAAACAGCGTGGACAGACAGTCTGGTATGCAAAAGAAAAAGCAAAAATAGACATCAATCAGCAACGAAGTAATAGAAGACATTCGTACGAGTTACCTACAAAGTTCCAGCAAGCCATCATACCATGCTAGAAGACGATGTTACGTGTCGCAGGCAACAAGGTGGCGTTAAACACAAGCGTCTGTAGCTCATACCTTTCAAATCCCGAATGGTACGAGGGCTAAAATTTGCAGACCAAAAAACAACTTCTGAGTGGATTTGTAACCAACCACAGCTGGTGGTTGATTTATTTGCGGACCAAGTTTATCTATGATGCCACATCTAACTTACACTGGTGTGCAAAACTTAAGCAACACATTCACTGCAAGTGCAAGTGCGTTTTTTCGTGAAATATGGCTAGAAGAAATCACCTGGATGACTTCACACATGGAAGAATGACGGAAAAGCTGGAGGAGGGGCGTAGTCTGACCAGTGTAGCTGAAGAGTTCGGGATGAACAAAAGTGTCGTTTCGCGCGCTTGGAAAACCTTCCAAACCATAAGTACAGCTGTTAGAAAGGTTGGTGGTGGCCGTCCCAGGGAAACAACTGCAGTGGATGACCAATATATCGTCCTGCAGGTAAAAAGAGCCCGAAACCAGTCAGCAAACGCCATATCTCAACAACTATACACAGCAACGGGGCGACAAGAGTCGCGGTTATTGTGTCCAGATGCCTTTACAAAGGTAGCCTATTCGCCCGCCATCCTTAATGCTGCATCCCTTTGAAAGTTGGCCATCAACGACATCATTTAGAATGGTGCAAAGGAGCACGAAAACTGCGCATCTTATTAATGGAGTAGTGTCCTCTTTATGGATGAGTGCCACAAGAGATTCTCAAGGCCAGCTGATTTGGAGAAAGGTCCATTTCATCCCAGTAATGGTTTCATTCCAGGATCCCAGCTAGTTTCATTTCAGTAACATCACGGAAAGAGACCGTTACGGTGGTCCTGGAGATTAAGTTTGGGGAGGCATTATGCTGAACGGACGCACAGAGCTCCCTATTTACGACAGAGTTTCTGCAACCGGAGATCGCTATTGTCAGGAGGTGATCCTTTCCCATACGCGTCCGTTCTGTGGTGCCATTGGAGCAGACCGATTTTATGGATGACAATGCATGGCTCTACCGGACTTCTGCTGTTCAGAAGCTACCGAAAAGTGAAGATATCACTCGAAAGGATTGGCCAGCGTACTCCACTGATTTAAACCCAATAGAACATGAGTGGGATGCTTTGGAGAGATGGCTTGAGGCAAAATTACATTCTCCGGGAACACCGAACAACTGAAACAGATGGTGATTGAGGAATGGGCACTCTTACCTGAAGATCTGTTGGACAGTCTGGTGCTAAGTATGGAGAAACGGTGTGAAGCAACCATTGCAGTAATGGGAGGGCATATCCCATGCTAAGGAATATCTGTTTGTTGTTCTTCCTCTTGTACAGACAGTCATGTGACGATACTATGAGTTCAATAAAGCCTTTTTTGTTTGATTACATACTGTTTGCATTGTATTCATTTTTGTGCACCCATGGTTTCGTCATCGTTTAAAATACAAACTGCTGTCTCACATTTCTGAATTTCATGTCTCTCAGAAGATTTCTCGTGGAGTTATGGCAAAACGAACACCTGTTGCTTAAGTTTTGCACACCAGTGTATATGAAAACTGGCATGATTTTGAGATTCCAGGGAATGGAAAACCTTTGCCTTTTACGTATAATACATGTTTGTTAATATATATATATATGTGTGTGTGTGTGTAAAATATAAAAAATTGGGCGGCTTTGCTCTATGCAAACCAGCAACCTTTAATTAACTTTCTGCAATTCACGATCTTCCCTCTAGACCAGTATTTTCCAGAACATTCGAGCTTATTACGTAACCGCTTCTATAAATAAGGAAGTCGCGCCATTTTGCGTCAGACGGCTTGCTTCTCTCCTCCTGCGCTACAACACTTCGCTGCTGTTTAACCCATCTTTCCTTTGTTAGAATAGTTACGACGTCAAAAGCGTAGATTTTATCGTATTCAGTTTAAAGCACTACTTGATATGTAATTTGGAGAAGTTAATCTAAAAGAATAATAATCTGCCATTCAAATGGAATAAAGATGTGCAATTAAAAGCTAAATCCTTCTGTGTCATCATTGGATGCCGCCTTAACACTCAGCGACAGCAATGCCCGGACTTGGATGCCAAGCTTCGTCATTCATGTCCACGACTGCTAAAATATCACCCATATATATATATATATATACATTATATATATATAAATATGTATATATAAAAGTGTTTAATTTATATTACTTTATGTTCCGGTTAAGTTTTTTATGCCTTTAGTTAATGTGCGTGCAGTAGTTGTAAAATTATCAACAATTTAAAAATTGTTTAAGTAACTGAGCGTAACGACGCCGCTATTTTGTTTACATTTGAAACTTAGTAGCATACTGAATGAAGTCAGTTTGTGCGCCAACTTCAGTGTCTTTGTGCCGAGTGTTTTAGTTAATTTAAATTTTTAATTTCATTTCTAATTGTTTTTTTAAAGTTCAAAGGGGCTTTGTCCCTAAAGGACTATTGTTTTCGTTTTGCCTCGATTCACTGCAAACGGGGAATTACTTTTCAAACTGTTGCCACAAAGTATTATTGCCCTGTGTTATATTTGAAGAAATTAAATAACGAAAAATCTGCACAAATGTATGTATATTTTCTCGTATTGTGATAAAACAACGGTTCATAAAACCATCGAATTTTGAATGACGTAATCTTCCTATGAATATGAACATGTGGAGGACCAAATTTGGAATTCGAAATTTGTTTTATTATCGATTTCCTATTTTGTAAAACTTTAACGAATTTTTGATTAACAAACTCAAGAATTTCAAAGCGAGCGATGGCAACGTTGTACAGAAAAAACATTTTTATCTCCAACGCGCGAGTCTCTGTATCGAAAATTCTAAAGCTTTGCTCATTTTCAAACTGTTTTGCGATATTGCTGTTGAATTAAATTTTATGGTTTAAGGGCGAAGAACGTGATATTTAATATATAAATGTAACACAAAAAATGTTTAAAAAAAAGGCCCCTTTGGACGTATTTTAAAATCTGAAACATTTCACAGATTTTTTTATTTATTTTTTATTTTTATTTATTTATTTATTTATTTATTTTACGGTTTTCTAACTCTATTTGCTGTGTTAGGTTTTCCTGTATTTTACAACTTTTAAAGAAGATGTTTTGAGTTTTTATGTATTTTTACTTCCCGCATATTGGAAACTAAATTGATCGAATGAGAAATATATATCTCTCTAATGAAATTCGGGGAAATAAGTTTAAATGAAATGCAGCAAAAAATGTGTACAATTTAATAGGCTGTACAAGGTAGTCATGTGGTGTCCACATCAGGTTTTTTGGTATGCGATCACGTTCATTATGCAAGGTTACACTGTACAGGAAACCATTCCATCGAATCGTATTATATATAGAGTGGAATAATCCTCGGTACTTACATCGGGTTATGGCAGGAAGGATTCCTGTCACCAGACAGCAGCGGTTGTGACTGACAACCGGAGGGGTACTTTGATCTTGCAAGTACAGACACTTTTCGCAGAAGAAAGCAGAGTTGCTTTCCACCTCCGACGAAATTGTTGATACTCCCTGCGGTTCTTGGATGCAAGGCGCACTGCTTAAAATGCAAGTGGGAGAATTCGAAGACATTGCTCTGTTGGTAGTTTGTGCACAGGCAACGCAACTGAGGGTTATCGGTGGACAGAAGATCTCCTACATGGACTTCCGTCAGGAAAGGGCTTCATGTTTAACCCCGGGAGCTGAAAATGCAATAAGAAAATGTTACCTTCATAAATTATTAACGGCATGTACGAGACAAACATATTTAAAATTACATTTTAAGCAGTTGTAAGTGATCTTGACGGCGTAATTTATCTATGCTGCTTAACAATATTGTTACGAAAACCCAGTTGGAGTAAGATAGCTTCCTCGCGGAGCGGGGATAGGGTTGCCAGAAAGTGGCAAGGAAAGGCAGAGTTGCCAGACTTGGCGCGAAATCGCCCATTTGGCAACATGCTGTAGACGGAGCGAGAACATATTAGAATAGATTCTTACAGGTTATCAGGGTCAATGTTCCTTCTAACCTTCTTCGGGAACATACAAGGACCTGACTCGGAACAGAGAGCTTACTAAAGCTATGTTCACTAATTGTGGTAAGTAGACAGGATACAGACGAAGGGTATACAAAACCCTTTATTTTTCTCTATATACAATAACTTCCGTACTTCGGAATACAATGACCCGCCACTCGGGGTCTAACGTAAAAGTATAAAAATAAAACTAAACTCTAATTTAACTTTAGAATAATACACGTGGAAGATTGGCCTTATAATAACAGGAAGCGTATGTAGCACAGAGACTGTGAACACTACAATACGTTTAATTTATCAAGAGGATTAAAAACTCTGGCCTGGAAGGCAAACAGCAACTGCGTAACTTCTAAGGTAAGCGGCCTGCGTTGACTCACTGCTTCTCTCTCTTTCGCTTGGCAAAAAGGCCACACTTAAATACTTGGCGTTCGCCAGACAAACTTTGCATAAAAACCTTCACGCTTATAATTCTGGCCGGAAGTAGAAAATAAGAAGTGATAGTAAAGATTTAAAATAAAATAAACGTTAGTAAAACTTAAGATCCTTACAAGGTTTTCCCAAAAATGTTCTCGAAAGCAGGTCAACGGCTATAGATACCCTGCCTATACGCAGACTATCTGGAGAGTCGAGAGTGTATTGAGTTTATAGTGCTGTCTTGAATTCAGATTTGGCTCGAGAGCGATCGACCGAGTCGGGAGCTGTGCTTTAGTACTTTGCCGTGAAGCTGTCTTCACAGATTTTCGCCAATACCAATTATCGTTATAGCCTGATTGCTTGGAAGCTGTGTTGCTGATTGTTTCACTTTGTCGTAGTTTCTCGACCACCGTAAGGCGTCTTTGGAACTGCCCTGTGCAATACTGACGAATAAATGGTGTTTTGGTTCTTCATCAAGGTTCTCGTCAATCACTCCAAATCCACGAACCCGTAGAACGCAACAATATGTTCCTAATCCAGAATAAATAAATAAAAATAAAAATTTATAAGCAGTATCAAGATTAAAGTAGTCCCATCTTTTGATTTTTGCATCTTTAATCAGATTTTTCTCGCATAATACGTAAATACAACCAGCTAGATAAATTAATCAAAGCATTTAAAGGAATTATATCTTCGGTGGTAAATACTGTCCTGGTAATTTTGTTAATAAACTGTCTGCTTATCCGTTTTTCATCGTTAATATGCATACATTACAGTCTTACTTTTCGCTCTAAAAGTAATGAAATGCTAAAAACAAAATAACCCAAGCGGATTAATTTACATTAGAATTCTGGTCGATCTCCTTCAGTCAGTTATTACTAGTTACTATTAGTTATAACTAGTACTATAAGTCAGTTATTACTAGTTACTATTATTTGTGAAAGTCTTCTGTAGATAATTTTTCCGAGATGATACCACAGGTATTTGCTTACATTAATAATATTAACCGAACGTTCCGTATGCCGATATCATCGAAAAGCAGTGTCATTAGGTTTCGGAAAAAAAGATATATATTATTCTTTTTCGTTCCCTCTTAAATAATTCAACATTATTAAAACTGAAATTTTTTTTGGAAGAAAAGGTGTTAAATATTTAGTAATTAGGAAAGCTAAGAAAGATTATTTAATAATTACTTATTATTAAATATTTTGTTGGTTATTTAATGATTAAGTACGCAAAACAATTCAGTTTCTTCACATGCAATTCTTTTCTTCCAAAATTAACAATTAGAGTAAGAATTAAGAGTTCATTTCTGCTAGACCTAATGCAATAAAGCGATTAGAATTGCATCAGGAGATTAAATAAATATTATTCAATATTATTAAAATTAATTTTTTTTGAGGAAGAAAAGCTATTAAATATTTAAGTATTTAATAACTAGGAAAGGTAAGAAAGATTATTTAATAATTACTGATTATTAAATATTATGTTGGCTATTTTATGATTAAGTACACAAAGTGCTTCATTTTCTTCACATGCAATTCTTTTCTTCCAAAATCAAGAATTAGAGTTATAAAGTATTCCTCCCGGCGAAGGCGGTTGCTCATTTTTCATCGTTCCTGCTTTCCAATTACCTAATGTCTCTACAGTGGCGCCCGAACTAAAAAGGGTGTTGGATGATGATTCTCCACACTCAGGATTTGGCGATTGGGTCCCCTAAAAACCCCAATTGCCCTTTTAGGAGAGTATATAAGGTATTTCTCCCGCCTTTTTGGCATGCCTTCGTGGTGTGGTGGTCTTCACGCTCGGCGCGTATTCCAGAGGTCCGCGGTTCGATTCCCGGCGAAGGCGTTGCTCATTTTTCAATCTCTCTCGCCTGCTTCCAAAAATACCTAATGTCTCTGCACAGTAACAGAGTTCATTTCTGCTAGTCCTAATGCAATAAATCCATAAAAATTGTATCAGGAGATTAAATAAATTTTTCTCAAAATCTCATCATTTGTTTCTCGATTCATTCTTTGTTATGAAGTTTTCCGTTCAGATTTATGCATTCTTCGAAATTTCATCCTATTGTATTCATGTTCGTTTTCTCTCAGAACTGCAAAATTGGTTTTATTTACCGTTATTCTTAAAGCAGCTGCAGTTACTGATAGGCGGTTTAAGGAAATCGGCACCTTTTATTTTGTTTATTTTGTGTAAAGCAAACAGGTGATTCACCTTTTCTAAATTTGCTATTGTTTACTATGCTATAATAAAATGAATTGCCCGATGTCAAAGAAATTAAACAAAGAGATTCTGATTTTTTTTTTGGGGGGGGAAGGATTCAAACCCTTTTCTTTCTAATTCTATGGGTAACAGATACAAAGTTTGCAAAAACACCAATCTTCGCCGATAACAATTATACTGGAAAAAACACCCCTAATTCTTCGTAACAAGTCAGGTTTTTAGGATATCAAATTGTAATCACTTATTTACCAACAATTAATTTATTACATAATTGTAGCCGAGTGGATAAAGCTACTGAATACTAGTAGTTCGACTTGTGTTCGAATCTGTATTGTTGTTGTCTTGTTCATGTATTTCATGGAAGAGTGGTTGCCAGAGCCTCACGGAGGTTGGACTTCTTCCACTCCAATTTTGAACACCCCGGGAGGGGGTCCGACTTCTTTCCTCTACCAGCAAAACCACACGAGAGGACGTTCGGCTCGCCTTATATTTAAAGTGCCTCCATGCCGAAAACACACTAGCTGTAGCTGAGTGGATACAGCTACACATTTAATAAATATCCATGCCTTCTCCGGGATTCGAACCCGGATCCTTTGTTATCGCAGTAGGCTCACCTAATCACTATACTGTCTGGGCGGCATATTCTGAATTCTGGATTTGCATATGTTGTTTCTCCATCTGTAGGAATAATACGAAACAGTTTCCTCACAGAGTCCTCCAAGACCGCATTCTTTCCCTCAGGCAGAGAGCCTAGCGTGCTTTTCCAGGATAGAATAAATAATAATAATTTATATGTATCCTAAATATAAATTAGTTCCAAAATATTCCACTACAGCTTTCTTTTTTAGGCTGATCTCCCTTACGTGCTTTGCTTTTAATCAATTAATGAAACCAAACTAAGAACTGACTGAAACGCAAAAAAATCAGTATAACATATTTTTGCGTAATTTTTCACTTTGTTATTTTTGCTTAGCATTTAATAAATATGAATTATATATTAAGATTTAATATATCGGGAATACAAATAAGTCTCCGCCATTTTGGTGGGCATTTATTGTGAAAGAACGATTCCTTTTGTTTTATTTAAAATATTGTCCATCGCTAGGCCACTACTTTTCCCCCATCTTTCTGGCAGAATACGGATACCGCGTCGAAAGAACGCTTCATCTTTCGAGGCTATTCCACAAATCAACCCAATTTTCGGTATCTTCATATGATGTAACGCGCTGCTCAAACAAGCCCTGTATCATCAACGGAAACGAGTAATAATCAAAAACAGCAATGTGTAGTGAATATGGCGGGAGGGGGGGAAATTCTCATAGGCCGCCTAACCAGTATAGTGGGTAGCGTCACTAACTGCCGTGCCGAAGGGCCCGTGTTCGAATCCCGGAGAAGGCATGGATTTCTATAAATGCATAGTGTCCATGCGGCATGGGGCACTCTAATTATGCCGCGAACCGAAAGATCTCTCGAGAGGTCGGTGGTAGGGAAAGAGGGGTGGAAAACCTTCGGACGCGTCCCCTCGGGGTGCTCTCCATCAAAATTGGGGGGGGGGACTGAGCTAAATCGCACCGTCACCTGTAACGTGCTCAAGGCGGTTGCCAACGACATGCGTAAACTTGCGCTCTTTGCGACAAGCAATTTCGTGGGATTGGGCTTACAAACATCCATGGCTTCTCTGGAATTCGAGGCGAAGTCCAGTGATACAGGAGTCAGGAGCAAAAACTACTATACCGGTCGGAACGGCACATCACCCAATGTATTATCGTTGTCATTGTTCCTCTGATTTAAAAAAAAAAAAAAAAAAAAAAAAAAAAAAACACCAAGCTATCCATGGAAATGGCTCTCCAAACCACGATGCCGCATTGTCAGTTAAGTGACAGAAATATTGGATCTGCCTCTGTCTCCATATCGTCTCCAGATTCTTATTTGGCGACTGCCATTGGGCAAACAACAACAAGACTCGTCGCTGCACACTTTCTGTGCCATTCAGTCTTGTGCCATTCAGCCTTCTATCTTGTGCTATAGGT